AACAAAAAAATGAAACTAAATAGTAAATATTCACGAACTTGAACATTTAGATTAATAAAATTTCCTCTATATTCACACAAAATAAAAATTTATTTATTAAAAAAAAAGTTCAATATAACGCAAACAAAATATAAAATATAAAATGTCGTGGCTGATGCTGGAAATTTTAATTATTTTAATATGAAATTTTCAAAAATTTTTTGGGCCTTTTGTTAGGGGTTTTTTTTTAGGGTTGGGTTAGGGTTTAGTGGTAGTTTAATAATAAAAGAGTATAAGTAGATTTTGGTAGGGTTTTATTTTTAAATCAAGGTCCCTAATTTCCAGCATCAGCCGTTTCCAGCTTCAGCCGCGACATAAAATAAATAATAAATGCTTATAGTAATAAACTAGATATTGATAATGCCAAATGAGTTATTGTTTCCTGACGTTTTGAATAAAACACATTATGAATCAAGAATCGATTTATTATCAGAAACTATCATTTGAATAAGAGACTAACACCGGAAAGAATGAATGGATTAGAAGCAGGGTGAATTAAAGCAAGACAACTAACAGATGATTCTTCGTCTTGAGCATCAAACACTTTAATTTTGAATGTGAGCTTCTTATTCGCAAATTCAAGCGTCTAACATTTGAAAGAATTTTTTTTAGTGAAATTTATATATAAATTTTTGTAGATTAAAAATTAAACCATACTTCTAGTGAAGGACTGACACCAACGGTGATAGGTGAGAAAAAGCTAGTCGGATTACATGTTAGTGTAACTGTAACCAATTCTAATTAAAGTTGCAATAACGAAAGAAATTTTACAATATAAGTGCCAAATATAAATATTAATATATTTTATAACGATATTTTTATATAAAAAAAATATTTTTATACCATCATCATTAATTAAATGACCTATCCATTTAACTGTTGCTTCATATTCACGTGTAATATTGATTTTATTCACAAGATTAACTCCTATAGGTGCCAAAATCGAGATTTGTTGGCTATCATATTGCCGAGAATGCGGTTGTTGAAGAATTTGCTGCTCAAGATGTTGTTGAATCTTCTGTTGAGTTTGTTGTTCAATCAGGATTGATGATTCAAATAATTGCCGAGCATTTATGTGCTTAGCATTTAGAATAATTAAAATAATTAATAAAACAATGTAAGAGAATTTCATCTTTTTGAATTTGTCTCAATTAACTTAACAAATGAGCCGTTAAAAAAAAAAAAAAAAGGATTTGAATGGGATCATATACGTGCGTACGTACTCTATTTTTAAGGTTTTCTGTGAGTAAAAATTAGACCTAAATAGTTTATTGTTATGGTACAACAAAAACCCAGATGCCTATTTTGTACAATCTTGATCACTTTACATAATCAGATTATCACAATTTATAAACTTATTCTACAGTATTGTAAACTTTAACTATTTATACAAAGTCGTAAGATGTTTCACTTTGTTAAAAGCACAGTAGCTAGCTTTTACTATAATTTCAACAGAACTATTAAAGATCTTATTGACTACTACTGTTAGAATTGAACATTGGAGGAAAATAACCGTAATTAGATACTAATCAATTAAGAGAGTTCTCTAACAGCTTCATTAATGTCGATTACAGTAATTTTGTAGTGATATTTATAATAATATTTGTCAAAAAATTCATGGTGCGGCTCTGAAAAGATAGTTTTTCACCTTAATGTTAACTATCATTTAGTGATTGAAGGCAAACTTTGATTAGTGAAATTAAATACCATTTTCGATTAGTCACATATGAAGGTGCATGCCTTATTATTATTTTTTTTTATAGAGTTACTATGATTGGCTAAAACTTAAATTTTGCATTTACCAGGAACGTTAGTGTATGGTTTTACTGGCATCTAAAACGAAGGCAAAATCTTAAAGCTGATTGGTGCACAT